TGCAAGTTTCTTCGCTGTATTGCTACTCTTTGTAAATAATTTTTTTTCTCTCGATCTTGTTCTCTCGCAGCTATGACAATTACATATTTTTGTACAGAATTGAACGCTGGACAAAAAGTTCTCTTTACAATTTTTCGATAAACCAACAAAAATTATTCTCCACGGTTAAAGTTAGCCACTCGGTAAATTCCTGAAGTTTTAACTTTTAACAAAATTAAGGATATATTTTGAAAATTGAATCACACTGTGCAAAATAAATATACAATTTTGATGGTGTTAAGGTTGGGAATTAAGAAATCTTCGAGTATAATAATATTTTTAAACCATTTAAGTATAGCTCATATATTACGTGCGTTCATATATATGGTGAAGCCAATAAAATAACAAATAAAATAAGAAGAAAAAAAAAAAATTTAAACTTTGTTTTATTTTTATGTGAAAACTTTGTATTTTGGTGTGCACGCTTAATTCTAACCCATAAATATTTTCAGTTTGATTTAATTTATTTTATACTTCACATAAGTAAAAATGTATAATATAGTAGGCAACGAATAAATAAATATACTATAAATAGTAAAATTACTATAAGCAATCGTAAAAGTTAACTTTTATCCAGCCTCATCATACTGCGCATGAGCAAATATATATATTTCTTATTTTATTTTATTTGACTGTATGAACGCAATAACAATAAATAAGAGAATTCTTTATTTCTTATTTTATTTTAATTTTATTTTGTATTTTATTTGGCTGTAAGAACCCAAATTATTATAAGGGAAGGAGCTCACGCAAAAAATCTTAGGTACTCCGCGATGGACCTCAAATATGGCCGACTAAAATTCCGGTTTATCAGTGCCGTTCTTAATTTTATTTAAAAATGTAAACTTTTTTTTTTTAATTTAATGAAGTATTTTAATCTCATTTTTTATACATCTAAAAAAAATAAAAAAAAAAAAATTGTTATAAAAACATATTATTATAATAATAAAAATATAAGTTTTAATAATTATTTATTAACACAAACATCCGATAGGCTACTTGTGCTTAAGGGGTGGTGTCAAATTGACGTAATTCAAATCTTTTGACATCTAATCTTTGACAAGTAGTAAATAAAGCAAAAATGCAAGAAAATATATAATTATTAATTTAAGTGAATTTCATAAATGATCGGTTTAATAAGTACGTGGCCAGCGTATATTATATAAGACACTTACTAGCGAAAAGTTGTTCCATTATTTCACTCGATTTTTGCCGAGATCTACCGCACGCTACACAACCAACTATTTTAGAGTCATTTTCGATAAATCGCGATTGTGTCACTGTTAATTCAAGTTTTAAGTTCTGCCACATAATGTCCATCTAGATTTACCATCTTTATACAACTATCAGTAGTAGAATAAATAATAAATAACATAAAATAAGCTCCGTAAAGACTGATAAATCCACAAAATTTCAAATCAAATTCAAATGTGTCAAATGAATTGTCAAACATAACTGTCAAGGATCCCCATCCTTGAGTCCTTTTTCCACCCACCATGCATGCTATGATGAATACATGGATAGCATTATGCTCCTTCCTTAGTCTTCTTATTCAAAGGTTTTAACTGTTTTGAAGAGTAATAACTTTTCGTCCGTACCTGTATAAAACTGCTGAGTGAAAAAATATACATCTCAGTGGCTTTTTACGTAAAAAATGTCTCTTTGTAAAAATCGCTACAAGCAAACGTTCTTAAGATATTTAGAATGGAAATAGTCAATACGTCATTATTGACAAAAAATAAACACGTTGAATAGATAGTTTTTTGACTGAAATAACAAATTTGGGAATTTTTTATTTTTTAAATTAATCATAATTTTTTCTTCGAAAAAATTACAGATAAAACAGTTTTTGTTAAATCATTTCAAATTTATGATTTCAGTCTAATAACTATTTAGCCAATAAGTAATTTATGTCAGTGATGACAGGTATTGATAATTTCGATTCCAAATATCTCGAGAACCATTACTCGTAACGACTTTTACCAAGATACCTTTTTGACGTAAAAAACGTCGTAAATGTATATTTTTTATTCAGCAATTTTATACAGGTACGGACGGAAAGTTATTAGTCTTCAAACGGGTAAAAAAATATGTAGGTGGCGACCCCTACAAGTAAGAGTCATATTAACGTCAGAATCAAATTTCTCATGTCAAAAAACTTCCAGACACGAATTTTCATCCAAATATTGACGTCACTTCATAAATTATTTGGAAAAAATCGAAATAAAAATGAAACTTCTACACCCTGTATCTCCGAAACTAAGCATTTTAGGACATACATTTATACGAACTTTTTTACTTATTTTTATCTGCAGAATATGCTGCAAAATAAAGCACTAAATCACCACAATACACCAAAACACTTTTACTTTTACACTGGAGGCGCGTTTCGCTAACCATGTTAGCATCATCAGCAGATGATTATAAACTAAAGTTTATAATCAAAGCGAAACGCGCGTCCAGTGTAAAAGTGTTTTTTTCTCAACTGTAATGCAGAATATGCTGCCGAAGTTTCCGGAATACAGTTCGGACCACCCTCTATAAAGCGCTTTAAAGACTCAGATTTACTAGCTTTGTAAGAGAATTAATGGTACAGGGGTGACCTGGTTTCAAATTTAGAGAATAGAGTCGTTTCTTATTAAATGCCAGGAAGAAACAGAAAGAACTTCTTTTAAAGTAATTTTTATTATGGCATTATTCATTTTTTTTCGGATTCTATACAATAATATAAATAAATTTTATGTCACAAAACCGCCCCAAACTTCACTTATTTAAATTCTTCATTATCCATGGCAGGAATGACTGGACCCTCGTATATACTCCAGGATATTGCCCTTTTCCGCATCCAATGCCCCAAGACACTATGCCAATTTGCGTCCATTTACCATGATTGACCATTAGCGGACCTCCACTGTCACCCTATAATTTTTATCATTATATTTACAATATTTTTCTATATTTTTTCCAAATATTACGCTGCAGGAGTCCCTATTTGCTTGCCCGGCACACACCATGTGCTCAACAATCCCTCCAGGGGCGGCAGCACCATACTTTTGTTTACAATCCCTATTTGACCAGATTGGGATGTTTACTTCTTGTAATACGGCTGGTTGTGGACCGCCTAAAATATTATATAAAATATTAGAGAATAGTATTTACAGGGTGTTCTTTAATGTCATGTTAATATTTAAGGGGGTGATTCTTAGACCTAGTCTAAGAGAAAAACTTCATAAATGCATGCATGTCCAAAACATCTTATTTTCTGAGATACAGGATGATAAACTTTTTTAAAAAAACTCTTTTTCATAATAACTCCGATTTTACTATACCGGGTGCGTCTCAAAAGTAGCTCACCCCTATAAGTTTTTTTATTTTTTCAGTTAAAAAACGAGATTTGGTATGTTAGTATGTGACATAAATTAAGATTGATTGCCGTATTCAATGGTTTTCGATCACTTCCTGTTTCACCGGAAATGGCTACAACTTTTGATTTTTAAATGGCACACTATCGGTTTTTTTTACTTTATTCGATAGAAAATAAGACTCTAAATAAAATGACATATCGTATGTCAACTTTTGACATTTTCGCATATGGTTTATTTGAAATTATAACTTGCGGTTCGTAAGGACGTAAGTGTGTGGTATCAAATTATACGTAAAAAACTGCTTTTTTCCAAATGTGCTAATTAGCTACTTTCGTTTAATTTGAAAAAATTGAGATATGATTAAAAATACGATTTGAGCATTTTCTAACTGGCCAGGATAAGACACTAAAAACATTAGATGATCAAATCTATTTTTCCAAGGCTCCTTGATTAAGAATTAATGTTTTTAACATAGCACTCTAGATTGAATTTTAAAATAAAAATTTTTATTAAACGAGAATGTCAAAAGTTGACATATGATAAGTCATTCTATTCAGAATGTCATTTTCTATCGAATAAAGTAAAAAAATACCAAGAGTGCCATTTAAAAATCAAACGTTGTAGTCATTTCCGGTGAAACACGAAGTGACCAAAAACAATTGAATACGTCAATGAATCCTAATTTATGTCATATACTAACTTACCAAATCTCGTTTATTTATCTCAAAAAATAAAAAGTTATAGGGGTGAGCCACTTTCGAGACGCCCCCTGTAGATATATTTATGAAACTTGATACACTTCTTTTATTTATCAAAATACTACTTTTTCAGTGTACAAAGAATATTATTTATTTCAACCAGTGTCATCCATACGGGTTTTTTATTGAATATTTTTGAAGAAAAAGTGATACCACAGATTAAGTATACTATATGTATACAGATAGAAATCTTATCCCTAATTCGTGGTACGAAAATTGTTTTTTATGACGATGTGCAAACGAGTAAAATTTCCTGTGCGCAAAAATAAACTCGCGTAAAATAACAATAAATAGCGTAATAGAGAGATATCGCTAAACCGAATAGCGTGCATGGACGTTAATAAGGCCAGGTGTTATTTATATTATATTCTCCTTTACGTGAGGTGGTATTAGGTATTAACTCTTTTCATTTCTTTTCACTCTCTTCTTCTTCAGATCTCGCCGGCCGGCCCCGGTTGTCAAATACCCGCACATGCCCATTTAAGCAATTTTTAAACATTATTTAGCGGGCGTTGCGTTAAAAATTGACTCGCGCATATCGTAACCTGTGTCGTAACCATGATAAGGTACGCGTAAATACTGCATGACGCTATTCGGTTTTGAGATATCTCTCTAATAACTGTGCCGGTCAGGCGCTGGGCACAGTTTTAGAGGCCATAAGTGGGCGTGCTATGTGCGCAAACTAGTAATCTAACTAGTGCCCGATTCCGAAAATTGGAACCACGAAAAACAATAAAGAAAAAACAAAGATTATAATCTGTATAATCTGTGGTGATACACACTGACTCTGACTTGAAACATTTTTTATCTCCTGATTTTTTTTCGTCTGAGGTTTTTGCTTAAAAAAATTAAAATCAGTTTATTTCAGGTTAAAATCGCTGAAAATCTGACGCAGTGACTGATGTGTAGAAATCATTTCTGCAATTGTCATTTTTTTCTTAGGATAGATCCAAGAATCACCTCCTTAAATACTAGCATGTCATTAAGGAACACCCTGTATATCCAGACATAATAATACAAACTTTCCCTAATACTGCCCCATCCAATGACGGTTCCTGTAGATCCTGCCAGATCCCTACCGCCTGCTGAGGGCAAGCAAATTGGTCTGATCACATTCGAAAATTGGACTGGACTGTCCAAAGTCAATATAGATATATCGTTGTACAGCGTTCTGGAATCAAATCCCCTGTGTCTCACAACTCGTTTAACTCGTTTTTCTATGTGATTAACTTCTGAGTTAGTCTTGATATTGTGGTCTCCGAGTCTTACAGTCAGCTTAGCCACATCCCATGATGTCATACTAAAATTTTACCAGAAAAAATAGTGTATTGTCTTATTAGGAGTAAAAATGACATATTTTGTGGCGATGCTGTACGTTTGACGGACGAGAAAATACAGACGAGTCACAAAAAGTTATTTTTACTCCGAATCGAACATGCTGTTTTTTTCAAACGTCACAAATATTTTTTTAAACAATTTCAAACGTTCCAAATCATATAAAAAGATTTAAAAATAATACCCTTGTTTAATATATATACAAGGGTAATAATTAAGTATGTAATTATACAGGGTGTCCCAGGCTGAGCGTGCTTTCGAAGTTTCTAGAGACCTACAATATCTAGGTCGGGTATTTTTTGCAACACAATGATGCATTTTTGAAATAGAGAGCCACATGCCTTCTCTTTATGTCACAGTGGCTGTGGTAATCACTAAATTTGACGTTTAGGCTATACAAATTTTTTGACAGGCAGTTTTTTCCTCCAAAAACTTTAAATATTTTTTTTTATCAAAAACGGTTAATGTTAAGTATAATATAGTGTTTGATATCAAAATTGATAAAATTTTACAGAGAATTTAAATATGTAATAACAATGGGGGTACTTATTTAGAATAAGTGAGTTGCTGTCAACCTCTGGTATTTCCAGAAGGGCTGCCATATTGAAAATATTTTTAATCGATAGATCTCATTGTGAAACAATGATGTGGAAAAAAATCTCCGATCTAGATCTTATAGTTCTCTAGAAACTTCTAATGCACGCTCAGCCTGGGACACCCTGTATATTGAGAAACTATGGTTACGCTCGTTCAATTTGACAGTTCGTGTCAGTT